CTCCCTTCTCAGTCCCTGGCCTCCTCTATTCTGCTCTCTGCTTCTGCAGATTTGTCTGTTCCCCACCAATTCTGACAGTCTCTACCAATGCACTTCATAGACTCTCTTCCTGGCCTCTTTCGCTGAGTATCCTGTAGGCAAGGTCCATCCTTATCATAGCAAGTGTCAGAGAGTTTCTTTTGTGTTTTGGCTGAGTCATACAGATGGACCACTCTTTGCCTATCTTTTCTGTGATCGATAGAGTTGTTTCAGCCTTTTGGCTGTTGTGAATACTGACAGGTGGATGAATGCAAGGTTTAGACTCAAGAGGAAGGAATCATTGGGTTACACGATTAAGTCTATATTTAGTTATTTGTTTGATTGCTTGATTGGTTTTTCTTTTGTGTGTGTATGTGTTTTGCCTGCATGTATGTAAGTGTACCCATGCCACGCAGTGCCCATGGAGACCAAAAGAGGCTGTCGGATGCCCTGGAACTGGAGTTATGGACAGTTATTAGCTGCCATGTGGGCGCTAGGAACCAAACCTGGGTCCTCTGCAAGAGCCACCAGTGCTCCTGAAGACTGAGTCATCTCTCTAGTCCTAGCACTTTTTTTCCCATTGAAGACAGGGTCTCAGGTTTACCAGGCTAGTCTCAAGCATGACCTTAAACTCCTGGCGCTCCTGCCCCTGTCATCTGAGTACTGGGACTGCAGCATGTGCAGCCATGACAGGGTCATATCTTCAGCCTTTTGCAGAGCTGCCAGACCATTTTCCACATCCCTGTGCCATTTCACACTCTCACCAGCAGCTCGTGGAGCAGGGTGAATTCTTCATATCCTGGTCAGCAGTTGTTACTGCCTTTTTAAATTATTATAGCCATTTGAAGAGGTGGTTTTGAGCACTTGACATTTTACACCCCTTTATTAAGTGTGCTTGCAAGACTGTCACATGGAGACTTTGGGGCCAGCCTAGGTTGGAGTCCTGGCTCTGCCATATAATTACTGTGTGACTTGGGGGAGGTTACTTAACCTCTCTGGTCCTCATTTTCTATATCCATAAAGTTGGTATAATAATATTGTTGCTCACCCTGCTAACACTGGATTCTAAGATGATGAAGTTGGAAGTGATTGGAGCGCAGCATGCAGGGAGTCAGTACTGGTGCCCATTGTTATCACTTGTTGTTCTGTGTTGGGTCATGTGACTTTCTCAGCCTCTGTCTGAGGAGATTTTGTGCCCAGGGGGAGCAGTGCACTCCCTGTCCACAGGCTGTGTGACTCTGAGAGTGCTCAGACATCTCTGAGCCTTGTTTTCCTCATTTGTAGTTACACACAAGCCTCTCCAGATGTCGGTATAAGGACAATAGAGAGCCATCTCAAGTCTGGCCAGTCAGATGAGCATCATGCTTTTGGACTTGTCCCCAGTCAACAGATGGAGAAACTGAGGCTCCATGAGAGCAAGGTGTTACCTGAAATTGTCCAATTTGGCCCCTCCTGGCTTCCCACTACACTGTTCTGCCAGGAGCCCAAGGTCCCTGGGTTGAGAGTTGCTCCAAGCTCTGTGTCTTGCCTTATGTTCTGGACTTGGCTGGAATGGTGTGCCTCATCAGGGACTTCTACAGGAGACTCTCTGTGTACTACCCCAAGGAGTGACAGGGCTAGCCAGGGACATGGGTGTATGCCCTGTGAAGGGAGGGCTGGAAGGCTCTCCCTTCCACCTTGAGGACCTAGTGGTGGCCTGTACAGGCAAGAGTAAAATATCAAGAGAGCCTCTTGGCCTCTAGGTGAAGTGAGGAGGCTGCCAGTCTGCCCAGTTGTGGAACAAGGGAGCAGAGAAGGTGGGGAACAGGGTGGGCCCCAACCCAGCTGCTCTGGAAGCTCAGTTCATCCCTCCAGAGCCGGCTCCTCCATGAAGAACCCCCCTTTCCCACCCCTCTTCACTTCTTCCCCTGATAGCAGCTTTTTCTATTGCAGAACTTCTCAGAGCCTTTACAGAGTTGTGAACTTGTTTGGGGTAGGGGGTGGGGATTTCCTAACTGCCTAGACTGACAGATGGTTAGTGCTAAAATGATAGCACTTGGGTTCCTGGGCCTCACTTTGGGAAAAGCTGCCTCCTCATTGATTCTGCAGAAGTGGTGGCCTTGATGTTCTTCCCTCTGAGCCCTCAGCCTTGTGCTCAGGCCTGACACAGGACAGGACCTTGAGTAAGGTTCAGGAAATGGATGGACACACTCAGCTTCCATTTGCTACTGTTCCTTCTCTCTCCAGCTGGCTCACCTTGGCAGCACCTGCTATGCTTGTCCTCAGGCACTGGTGAGCATCCAGGTCCCCAGGAGAACCTGGAAAATCAACAGTAAGAGTGTACAGTTTCCTATCTGGGCTCTGGAGACCTGGGCTCAGACAGTTGAGGCAGTGCCCAGGACCCTCACTTTCTCCTGTACTAGGTGAATCTTCTTCCACTTGAGGGTCTAGTGTTCACCTTGTCCTACTCCAGAGAACACTCCCAGGACCTGCCTTTATTGTAACCTCTCTTTATTGGAAACTTCTAGCCGAGACTCCAAACTCCCCCTCAACCTTCAGAACCCATTTGCATAGTAGAATATTATTCAGTTGTGGGAAGGAGTAGCGTTTTCACAAAGGCTGTGGTGAAGATGAACCTTGCGGTTATTATGTTAAGAGAAACCAGACATGAAGGACCTCAGACCATGAGGATTCTTCTTGGATAAACTGTTCAGCATAAAATGTACATAGAAGGTGGATGGATTAGTGGTTGCCAGGAGGGGAGGGGAGATAAGAATAGGGAGCGACTTCCAACGGGTATGAGGTTTTTGGGGGTTTTATTGGTTGGTTGGGTGGTTGGTTGGTTTGGTCTTTTTGAGAGAGGGTCTCCCTATAGCACCAGCTGGCCTAGAACTCACTATGTAGACCAGGCTGGCCTTAAACTCATAGAGATCCACTTGTCTCTGCCTCCCAAGTACTGGGATTAAAGGTGTGTGCCACCATGCCTGGTGGGTATGAGGTTTTAAGGGTGATGAACACATTATTTGGTTAGATGGTTGGGATGGATACAGAACTCTGAATATACAAAAACTCACTGTGATTTCAATGGGTACAATGGTGTGTGAATGATGTCTCCAAGGATGTGTTTAACCGAGTGGACTGTGACTGTTCTCCTGTTATCAGCTAGCTGGATCCTTTTGCTTTACCCAGACAGAAAGTGTGGAGAGGGGAGGAGCTCTGCCAGGGCAGGGCTTTGGCAGATTTTGTATTCCTTGGTGTTTGACAGGGAGCATTGTGACCAGGAGGCAGGAGCAGCAGGCAGCTAGAGTTCTTGCTCCTATGCAGGCATCAGATGTGGGGCCATTAGCTCTACAGGTGTTAAGCTCTTTCTTGTTTTTTAAGCCATTCTAGGCATAGAAACCAGAGCCTCATAGATGCTGAGGGAAGCCCTCTCCCACTTACCCTCACTCCCTTTTTTACTTATGTTGAAGCAGGGTCTTACTAAGCTGCCTAGGATATCCTTGCATTCATTCTGTACCCACATCAGGCCTTGAACTTGTGATACTCTTGCCTCAGCCTCCCAAGTACCTGGGATGACCCGCCGTGCCACCAGGTTCAGCTGTGTTCCAGCTCAGGCAGGCCTGGAGCACGGAGACACTCGGACCCTCAGCTCCTCAAGTATTCTGGCTGTCAGAAAGCCTAGGAAGTCAGAATCCCTCAGCGTCTGACAGAGACCAGCAAGACAGCTTGCCATGGCCTCCTGTCACAGCCCCCATCACAGTTGCCATCTTCTTTGGGCATTGTTGACAGCTACTTTTTGTGGGGGGCTCATTTTTGAGACAGCCCCAACTGACCTGGAACTCACTATGTAGACCAGGCTGACCTTGGTCTAACAGAGATTCACCTGCCTATGTCTCCAGGGTGCTGGGATTAAAGTATGCACCAATACACCTGGCAGGTCTGCTCCTCTTGTGGCTTAACCACTTCTGCTGTCAGGTCTGCAGGTGTCCAGGGCTCCTTGGTTCTGCAGTGGCACCTACCAGGCAACATCAGGGGAGGTAGCACAGACCAGAGTCTTTCAGCCTACTCCCCAAGTAGGAGCACCAGATAAGGGATGCCTGCACCAATCAGCATATGCTGTATGCAAATGAAGGTTCATGATGGCATCAATCCCAGCAGTCCCTCTGCTGGAACTCTAGGGAAAGTGTTTCCCCTCTGGCTTGGATAGAAATAGTTATAGGGTCATCTGGAATTTCACTGAGGCTTATGACAGAAAAATAGTTTGATACAAGCTGTTTCAAACCGCCCTGACTGGGGCAGTGACAATCAGTTGTGGTTGTTTTGTATGGTTTTCTCAAGGTGTCCATGGAGTGTTCAGAAGAGCCAGGGCTGACCTAAAGGCAGTCCTGCTGACTGGCTGACTGATAGTCCTTTTGGACAGATAGTCCTTTTAGACAGCCAGAGCACCAAGGGAGAGTCCCACCACTGCCCCACCCTCAATGTCTTTGCTTATTTACAGGAACTTGAGCAACAGCATTGCCACTAGAACTTGAAGTGCTTATCATAAGCACTAACAGTGATTTTTAACAGACTTTAACAGTGCTTTAAGTCTAAAGTGTTTTAACCTGCCCATGCCACAGGAGGAACCAGCTCCACCTCATGTGTCTCAGTTCCAGCACTAGGAGGCTGAGGAAGGAGGAAGGCTTGTTAGGGGTGGAACCAATGTAGAGGCCAACTCCGAGGCAAAAACCAGAAACAAAAGTCTCATGCTTTGACAGAAGAGAAGCTTTAGATCCAGTGACCAAAGTGGGGCTGGTTCCCCCACCGCACACACTGTCTCTGGCATTAGTGGCTTTATCCTGTGGAGAGAGCCGAACTCCAGAAGACTGGCTGGGTAGCAGAGTCCTGCTCGGGTCTGAGGCTGGGGTCTGGGGCTGAGGGCTGGGGCTGGGACTGGGGACTGGGGTTTCCATGCAGCCCCTTGGCCTTGGCCCATCTCCCTGTTCCTCCTCCTACCCCTGCAGCATCTCCAACAAAGAACTCTCAGAGCTCATCGAGCAGCTGCAGAAAAATGCTGACCAGGTGGAGAGGAACATCGTGGAGACAGAGGCCAAGATGCAGAGTGTGAGTGCCCTGCCCTCCCCAACCAGGATCCTCCCCCAGGTGACCCCAGCCCTCACGAGGTCACATCTGGAGGCCTTTGTGGTTGCTACAGGTGTGAGGGGCAGAGCTCTTGGTGTCTAGAGGGTAGGGACCAGAGACCTGCTAAACACCCTGCAGTGCCCAGACCAGCTGCAGCTGCAGCAAAGACCAAGCCAGTCCAGTGCCTCCAGGGTGCTGGGTTCCTGTGTTAGAGAAAAATGGAACAGGTTTCAGTAACCTAGTGACACAGTGGAGGGGGCCCTTGGCTTACAATGTCTTCATGGACAGGTGGGATACTTCCCCTGGGTGGAGCTTTTTCTGGGGCAAAGCTCCTCCCCTTGTTTCCCTTGTGGGCAGTTTCCTTGTGGGTAAAGCTTCCCCTGGGCAGAGTTTCCAGGTCAGGAGGGGATCTGTTTAAATTTGTTTGTTTATTCATTTTTATTTTTTTATGTGTATGCATGTTTTGCCTGCGTGTATGTAAGTACACCATGTACATGAAATGCCCACAGAGGCCATAACAGGGCGCTGAATCCCCTGGAACTGGAGTTATGGAGTTATTGCTAGCTCTCATGTGGGTACTGGGAACCAAACCCAGGTCCTCTGCAAGAGCAGCCAGTGCTCTTAACCCCTGAGCCATCACTCCAGCCCAAGGAGGGAAACTCTTAGGGAGCCAACCTAGCATAAGATCAGGAACTTGCACTCACTGAGTGACCTCCTACTGTGTGACTCCAGCTCAAAGAGCAAGAGCACTCACTCTCTCACCCCAGCTAGTCAGGGTGCTGCAGATTCCCCAAGACCCAGCAGGTACAACCAGGGCATTCTCCCTTGTACCTCCAACACCATGGCACAGTCTGTGGCCTCCTTTGCTGGGGAAGGCAAGAAAAGACCAAGAAGGAGCAGGAGCATCTCTTTCCCATTCTCCCTTGCACTTGCTCTTTCTCTCTCTCTGTCTCTATCTCTCTCTCTCTCCCCAGTGCTGGGGATGGAATCCAGGGCATTGGGCATTCTAGGTAAGTCTTCTGGCCCTATGAGATGCTGAAAAGACTGGAGTGACCAATCAGTGACAGCTGGTCCCAGAAGTCACTGCGGGTTAGGCAAAGGAAGTAAGCTGGAAAGCCAGGTTACACTTGAATTTCAGTGTGCCGACTCTGAGTTTCAGCAGGGGCCTTCGTACCATTTGGAACTCTCTTGCTCTGACAGAATGATTTATTATTTATCTGGAATTCAAGTGTAGCCCGGCACTGTGTTAGGCACCTTAGTCATTGGGTGACTAAGAGCATGCCTGGAACAGTGGGGGACTGAGGGTGGGGAGGTCGTGGTCTGCCAGGCCCAGCTGCTGTGCCCAGAATCTTGTGGCTGCCCTGCCTCCACAGTCACCTCTGACAGACCAGGTATACAACCCCACGGGCCAGTCTATAGACAGCCCAGAGTACCCGGAGGATGGGTTGTGGGCGAGATACTGGGAGTGGGAGGCCATGGGTTAGTCCTGGCTCAGGATGGTCCTGCAGGGCTTCTGGAGTGGGGTCACCTTCCTCCTGTCTGGAGTCCTCCAGTCTTGCTACACCAGCCTGCCACTCCTGACACCTGTCCCCTCCTGACACTCCTCTGTGATTTTTTTTTTTTTTTTCCTGCAGTCTCCTCTCTCCTGACGTGCTGCAATGATGTTTTGGATTTTTGTGGGTTTTTTTTTTTTCTTTCCTAAATGAAAAACATCTGGTTAGGATGTGTCTTTTTTTCCCTCACTACCAGAATAATGGTGTGTGCCAGTTTTCAACATCTCAGAACAGATAACCAAGGGTAACCTCATAATAATTAAAACCCCATAGACTCCATCTTCAGCACCTACCAGCCCTGAGCCTTTCTGTGTGTTATGTTGAACTTTCTCTGGTGTGTGTGTGGTGGTGGTAGGGGGTCCAGCCCTCCCATTGTGTTTGTCAAAGGAATGACTCACAGTAACAATGTATTTGAAAAATCATGCTGATTCCTGCCCCCTCCTTTCTGTGATGCTGGGGATGGAGCCCAGTATCTTGTGCATGTTAGGCAAGCACTCTACCTCCAAGGGCACCCAGACCCTGAGCTGCTTTTTAATTTCAACTGAAAAAAACTTGAAAAAAGCAGCCACGTTTCAAAGAGTACATGAACCAAGCTATCACCTTTCCCCCCTCCCTCCCTCTTCTCCCTCCCTCCTCTCCCTCCCTCCCTCCTCTACTTTTCATTCTTCCCCTCTCCTTCCTTCTTTTCCTTTCTTCATCCTTCCCTCCCATCCTCATTTTCAGAAGACATCATTATTTATTTATTGTAGTCCCCAAAAGTTTTCCTGAATTTTCCATTTTTTTAAAACTGAGGATTCATCAAACCTACCCGTTTAAAGGGCAGCATGTGGGATGTTGACATCTTCCCAAGGGTCAACTCCCTCCCCTATGATTGCTCCCTGTACCCCACCACTCACCTGCTCATCTCTATGAGTCACACATTCCAGATATTCCTGAGAGCAGAGCTGTCTGTGTGTGGACAACCAGAAGGAGGGAGCAGTGTCCTTTCACAGCTCTCTGACCCAGACTGCCCCAGTGCCCACCTCTGCACCTCTGAGCGCCCACTTGTCCACCAGTGTGCCTGTCATATGTCAGCCCTATCAGTCCCTCTGATCTGAAGGACCATTTTACTGAGGTATAACTCACAGAAAGAGCCCAGAAATGACCCCATCTCTGAATTCACCTCTGTGAATTTGTGCTTTGGTGGGTAGCACCTAGACAGGATAGACTAGGAACTTTCTAGAAAGCTTTAGGTGGTGATCTAGAGGTGACCCCTCTGCTGATTCTTCTTGTGGTCCATCATGGCTGACTTTAGAAAGTCCTTGAATGCCCATACAGCATCCCCCACAGGGCTCTTCTTCTGACCCCTCTCACTGTCCATCAGTTTAGCTGACTTTAAGTTCTTGAATGTCTACACAGTGCTCCACACAGTTGCTTCCTCTCCTTAACTGGAAGTATTCCCCACACTCTCAGATTTACCTTTGGAAATTCAGTAATGATTTACAGACTTTCCCCTTTTACAAAATTGATCTTTGACACTGCAGCTGCCCAGGGTGGCCTTGGTCAACCGGTGATGGAGAAGATAAAAATCTACTTAAGCCAGGAAGTGTGCTGGGTTGCAGTCCATCAGCTGGATCTGCCCCCAGGGTCAGGATGCCCAACCCACTGGCCCTTGACTGTGCAGCCTCAGCTCCAAGCTGCTTGGGGAGCCAGACACCATGTTTCCTCTGTTTTCTTTTTCTCCCTTTATCTGCTTTTGTTTTTATTTTTTATTTTCAGTACTCAGGATGGAACCCCATGCCCCCATCCCTCTTTTTTGTTTGTTTGCTTTTGTTTTTGTTTTGAGAGAGTCTTCAATTATTTCAGGCTGGCCTTGAACTCACTATAGCTGAGTGTGGCCTTGAACTCCTGATCCTCCTTCCTCCAGTTCTTGAGTACTAGGATAACAGGCAAGTGCTGCCATGCCTGGCTCCTCCTTCTCTTCCTTCCTTCCTTCCTTTTTTCTTCTTTCCTTTCTTCCTCCCTCCCTTCTTCCCTCCTTCCCTCTCTTTTAAAAATATTTATTATTATTTTTTGTTTTTTGTTTGTTTGTTTTGTCTTTTTGAAGCAGGGTCTCCCTTAGCCCAGCCCCAGCTGTCCTGGAACTCACTATGTAGACCAGGCTGGCCTTGAACTCACAGATATCTGCCTGCCTCTGCCTCTCAAGTGCTGGGACTACAGGCATGAGCCACCATACCCAGCTTATTTATTATTTTTATTTTATGTGTATGAGTGTATTGCCTGCATGTATGTAAGTGCACTTGTATCGCACAGTGCCTTTGGAGGTCAGAAGAGAGCATTGGATCCCCTGGAACTGGAGTTGCAGATGGTTGTTAGCCACCATGTGGGTGCTGGGAACTGAGCCTGGGTCCTCTGCAAGAGCAGCCAGTGCTCTTAACCTCTGAACCATCTCTCTAGCTCCCCTCCTTTTAAAAAGGATTTAATAGGCCCGGCATGGTGGCACATGCCTTTAAGCCCAGCACTCGGTACAATTTAAACCACCTTTTTTTTTTTTTTTTTTTCTGAAACGGGGTCTCCCTGTAGACTCAACTGGCCTGATCATGCTATGTAGACCAGGCTGGTCTTGAACTCACAGAGATCCATCTGCCTCTGCCTCTCACCTGCCTCAGTGCCTTTACCCACTGAGCCATCTTGCTGGCCCTCTTTCTACCTGTAAATAGCTTTATTAGTATGAAGTACTCATGCCTGAGTATGCCATCCAGTGACTTTCAGGACTTTTGTCAAGTGGCACAGTGGCTCCCACGGATCAGTCTCAGTGGGCTCTCCAACATTCCTGTCTATGCTCCTCCCAAGCTCCCTTGCCAAGCAGCTACCCTCCTGCTTTCTGCCCCTGGATCTGCCTGTTGGGGGATTTTCACCTCAGTGGAATCCCACATCAGGGGGATCAGGGAATCACTGCATCAGGGTATTTCCCTGTCTTGTTTTCTGACTGAGATTTGGTCACTGAGTTGCACCTCCAGCCCCCTTTCTCCCTTCTGTTTGTTGTTGTGGTTTTGTGGTCCTGGGATAGAATCCAGGGCCTTGTACCTGCTACTCAAGTTCCTACCCACTGAGCTGCTTTCCCCTTTGAGAAGGCAGATCCCTTTGTTGCTCCCAATGTGAAGATGGGAACCCCCTAGGCTGACAGCAGGGAGGCCAGGCTGCCTGTGAGTGCCCTAGCATTAGCCTTTCCTGCCTTCAGTCCACCTACTGTCATAACCTCCTCCCCTGCTGGACTCAGAAACCCTGAGGGATTCATCCCCAGAGGCCAGCTTGGTGCTGAGACACAGCCAGGCTTCTAAGATGCTGAAACAGATGGACTGTGTTTATAAACCTCCATCCTGACAGCCAACTAGCTGTTTTCTGTAAACAATGATACTGAATTCACAGGCAAGCTATGGACTGCACCTCCAAATTTCTATCCACCTACTCTTCTTTCTCCCATAACCAGGGGGCCATGCAGGACAGCCCACACAGCTCACCCAGGCACCGCTGTAGACAACCAGCGGTTCAGCTCACACCCTCAGTGCTGACAGTCAGTCCCTTAAAGGGTTCCTAGAAGCTGTTTTACTTTAGGCATAAATGGAGCTGAATGATTGGCTCCTAACTTGGAGCCCTTCTGTGCTCTGGGTCTGTAGGTCACATGGATAGCCCTCACTCTGGTCCTGGTTCTCTCTCATCCCTGCCTCTAGCCAAACAGGCTTTCACCATGTCTTACTCTCTACTACCACCTCAGGGCCTTTCCCTAGGCTGTTCCCACTGCCTACAACACACTTTTATTTCATTCTTCATCCTAGCTTACATCAGCATCTCAGGGGTATCCTTGAAAACTGGAGTGACAGTGGATCCCCTTGTTCCCTCTCTGGTGCCTTATGAGGTTTCTGTCATTGGCCTTTGTCTGCAGTCTCACAGCCTGAGCTGTGAGCACCAGATGGTCAGAGTCATGTCTCTTCAGGGCACTGCTGGGAAGGACCATTGCTCCCTGTTTCAGTACCCAGCTGTGTTTGCTGAGTTCCAGAGAAAATTCTGGAAAAGGCCAGAGGAGCCCCCTGCTGGTCCTGAGCTTCCCATCACTGTATCACCACAGAGCTGCCCACCACAGAGCTGTCCCTTCTTTCTCTCACAGGACTTGGCCAAGCTTCAGGAGGGGCGACCCCCTGAGCACCAGGATGTGGCCCTGCAGAAGGTATCAGACTCTGAGAAGTTGCTGTATGTACTGGAGGCAGACGCAGCCATCGCCAAGCACATGAAGCATCCACAGGGGGACATGATCGCTGAGGAGTAGGTTTCCAGGGAGTTGTGCTGGGCTGGGGGCCAGGCAGGAGGGTTGTGGCCCTCCAGTTCTTTGGAGTCCCAGCAGGGTATATGAGGGTAGATGGACACAAGACGTGTGCCAGGGCTTTATGTTTTCCTCGATGACAGGACTGTAGCTCAGGGAGTTGATGTACTTGCCACTTTTGGACCTGATGGCTTTTGTGTCTCCCAAGTTTATGGCTTATGATACAGCTGAACTCGGATGAACAAGCCCCCTACCCCACAGGGTCAGAGGTCTCTCCCTGCCCTATACCCCCTGTGCTTGTCCCTGTGTGCCACACCCCTCTCCATGCCCCCTGTTGAACCATGGGCTCTAAAGAACAGTGTTCTTGCTGATTTCTTCCAGATCCTTCTATAGTCATGGGTACATAGAAGGTCCTTAGGAAATGGTGGAGGAAGCAGACAGGAGGAACAAAAGGATTCAAGATGGTCTGGCATGCAAGGCCACTGTTCCTTTCCTCCAGGTCACTGAGCTGAAGCCCAAGCTGGGGACCCAAGGCTCCTCTGGGGCTCACATAGTGATGCCAGCAAGCTGCACTAATACACCAGCCTCTCTCCCCTCAGCATCCGCCAGCTGAAGGAGCGTGTGACCAACCTGCGTCGGAAACACAAGCAGATGTACAGCCTGGCAGTGAAGGAGGCAGATCCAAAGGTCAACTGGGCTGCACTGGTGGAGGAAAAGCTGGTATGGCCCTGGGGCAGAATCATCTCATAGTACCTCCATCCTGCGGGGGAGGGAACACCATCATAAAGTCCCCCGATAGTGTGTCACTGAGAATAGAAAGGAACAGTGCCTAGCCTGGGCTCTCAGGTCACTGTGAGATTAAGGGATTACATGTGTAAGGCAAACACATCTGTAGTGGTCCAGATGCCTGCTGACACTCCAGAGGAAGTGAAGAAGAGAGGAAACACTATCCCCATGGGGGCTCCTGTAGGTTTGGGCTGGAGGCTGCCCTCAAGCCTACTGGTTCTTCCTGGTGTCTCCCCTACCCACCCACCAGGACAAGCTGAGTAACCAGGCCTTTGGGACAGACTTGCCACTGGTGGACAGCCAGGTGGAACAACACAATATCTTCCACAATGAGGTCAAAGCCATCGGGCCCCACCTGGCCAAGGATGGGGACAAGGTATATATGTGGTGGTGCCTCAGGAGTAGGGAGTAGAAGGTAGGGAGGGACACACTGGTGCCCTGGTCTAACCTAAGCCCTTGGTTCTGTCCACAGGAACAGAACAGTGAACTCCAGGCCAAGTACCAGAAGCTGCTGGTGAGAGGTTCTGGGAGGGTTGGGGTGGGGCGGTGACAGGAGAGGACTGGACAATTAAGCCCTGAGGGGGTGGTAGAGTACAGGAGGCTTGGGCCTGGGGGAATAGGAGAGGATGGGAGGCTTGGGGGTTAGGGACAGCTTACTCCTCTAAAGTTGACTTGAGAACAGTGTCACCATGCCAGTAGGGAGGGACACACTGGTACCCTGGTCTAAAACTAATGGTCTAATCTGATGATGAGGATGGAACCCAAGATTTCAAGCATGCTAAGTGAGCACTCTACCAGCTGAGTTGCACTTAGCTCCACTCATTCTTTATGAAGCACCTACTATGTGCCAAGTAGATGCCACATACTTCTAGAGCATGATCCAGGCATGTGTACATGTATGCATGTGTACATACATATATATGTGTGCATGTATACACCTGCATGTGCACGAATGCATGCATATGTGTATGAATGTATGCATGTGCATATGTTAGTCAAATCTCTTATTCTACAAAATGCAAGCCTTCCAGCCTATCTGCCCCTTTTCAGCCCTCTGTGGCCCCAGATACTTCTCTGAACACAACCATAAGGCGTTGAGATGCAACTCAATAGAGTGCTTGCCTCAAATGCATGAAGCCCTGAGTTCCATCCTCAGCACCAAATAAAACCAAGTGTGGTAGTACATACCTAAGTCTTCCTAGCACTTGGAACATGGAGGCAGGAGGATTAGGAGTTCAAGGTTATCCTCGACTACATAGCAAGTTTGAGGTCAGCCTGGGCTACTGGAGACTCTATCATTCATAAATGAATAAATAAATAGACTCACAATAAAAGTAAATGCAGAAGATATGGTTGGCATTTATTGAGCGCCAACTGTATGCTAAGTCTCTGCCCTATGGGTAAGTGCTTTACAGATGGCAAACTGAAACTTCAGGGAGACCTCAGTCCCAAGGACATATCTCTTTGTTCATGGCTACACTCTGCATCTAGCAGGTGCTCAATAAACACTTGTCAAATGAATGTGTTTCAGAGGCTCTGGTGCTTTTTCCAAGGGAGCCTGACTGGGCAGTGGCAGAGGAGGGCTGAGGAGGGCAGGGAGGCCAGGCCAGGTCCAAGTGCTGTCCTTGCCTCATCCTTGCCCCATAGGCAGCATCACAGGCTCGGCAGCAGGACCTGAGCTCACTGCAGGACTACATGCAGCGCTGCACCAACGAGCTGTACTGGCTGGACCAGCAGGCCAAGGGCCGCATGCAGTATGACTGGAGCGACCGCAACCTTGACTACCACAGCCGCCGGCGCCAATACGAGGTAGGTGCCAGGCAGGTGCAGTCATAGAGTGGGACACGGAGCTGCTCGGCTGGGTGCTGACCCCATCTGCTCCCTGTTGCAGAATTTCATTAACCGGAACCTGGAGGCCAAAGAAGAGAGAATCAACAAACTGCACAGCGAAGGTGACCAGTTGCTGGCTGCTGAGCACCCAGGGAGGAACTCCATTGAGGTACGTGTCCCCCAGGAGGGGGCCCACTCTGGGGGTGCCTCTGCTGGAGCTGAGGGTTCACAGCTACATTCTGTGACCATTTTGCCATATGGTTCCTCCTCCCCCATTACCTTGATCCTCTGCTGTGTTCTGCCCCAGCCACTGACTGCTGCTCAAGTTCTGCCTGGGTTTGTTTTCTAAAGCTGCCATGCAGACTGTCACAATGACAGTCCCCTGAGCAGGAGCACAAGTGCTCTCAGATCTCTCCACAGAGGCTCCCCATCTCTTCCACCTGCATCTGGTCCTGCTGTCTCCAGCATCCCTCTTACTGAAGCTGTACCACTCCCATCTCCACTAGCAACTTCTCTCAGCCTCTACATCTTCTTTTCTTTCTTTTTCTTTCTCTTTTTTCTTTTTCTTTATTTCTTTCCTTCTCTCTCTCACTCTCTTTCTTATTTTGGTTTTATTGAGACAGGGTCAAATAATGTAGCCAAGCCTGGCCTCAAACTCTGGATCATCCTGTCTCAGCCTCCTGAGTGCTGGCTACCAGGCCCATGTTCCCCCCCCTTTTTTTTTCCTGGTCTTTTTGACCCTGTAGCCCTAGCTGGCCTGGAACTCACTATGTAGACCAGAATGGCCTTGAACTCACAGAGATCCACCTGCCTCTGTCTCCCAAATGCTGGGATTAAAGGCATGCACCACCACACCCGGCATGTTTCCTTCTTATAAGGATCTAATTCCATCATGTTTTCACTTTAAGATCTTTAATCAACTTGCCCTTTACCCTATTTCCCAGAAAGGCCACAGGCTGGGTTCTAGATGAATAGGAACCTAGTGGGGCAAACAACCCCTCATGCTCATCCATCTGCAGAATCTTTGTGGGTTTTGTTTTTCTATCTTTACAGTTCCGGGGACTGGAACCCTGGGCCTTGCATATACTAGGCAGTCATTCTTGCCACTGACGTACATCCCTAGTTGTTTGTGGAAACTATTTGTTTTTGAGACTGGGTTTCATGTAGCCAAAGCTGACTATGAGCTCACTATATAGATGAAAGGATGATCTTGAACTTCTCATTCTCCTGCCTCTGCCAGGATTACAAGTGTGCACCACCACACCCAGTTTTTAAGCAATGCTGGGGATGGAACTCAGGGCTTTGTGCAGGATAGACAAGCACTTACCAGCTGAGCTACAGCCTTCTTTGTAAGAATTTGTTAAAGGCATCACTTTAAGCAGACACAACCCCCAACTTGGCCCCATGCATTGCACAGCCTGTGCAGCTGTACATGACAGGCTTGCTTGGCACCCCAACATGCCCTCACTGTCCTCTTCTCACCTGAACAAGAGCTGGCTACCTCCTAGGTGGGAGGGTAGTGGGAGGAGCTTATCCCAAATAGAAGCCTTCCTTCTCTCCCCTTCCGCACCTGGAGCACCACCGGTTCCTCACTTGGTATCCCAGGCACCCAGACAACAGTGACTGGTCTCTCCTCTCCCTGATAGGCACACATGGAGGCTGTGCACGCAGACTGGAAGGAGTACCTGAATCTGCTCATCTGCGAGGAGAGCCACCTGAAGTACATGGAGGACTACCATCAGGTACCTGCGTGGCTGGGCACCACCAGCCCTAGGGAATAGCATGAGAGTGTTCAATGCGCCTCAACACACACAGGGCCTTGAGCTGCTTCTAAGGAACCTTGCAGGCCACCTTCCCCAAGGCAGAATGCCCACACTGCCCATGGGATTCAATGTGTTCCAGGCCTGCTGAACCCTTGTGTGTCTTCAAAGGAGACAGGCAGGGAGAGTGACTGAGCCAGTCAGAATAGGACACAACGATGGTGTGGGGCTCATTTTTTCTTTTTTTATTGTACATGTATATGGTATGTGCATGTGCAAGTGCAGGTCATGCATGCCACAGTGCATGTGTGGAGGTCAGAGGACATTCCAGGAGTCAGTTATCTCCTTCCACTGTGGGATCAGGGGATTGATTTCAGGTCATTATGCTGATACAATAAGCACCTTACCCACTGAGCCATCTCACTAGCCCAGGGTTCATTTTGTTTTGTTTTTTGTTTGTTTTGAAACAGTCTTATGTTGCCCAGGCTAGCCACTTGCTATGTAGTGGAGAATGATCTTAAATTTCTGATCTTCCTGTTTCCAACCTCCCAACTGCTGAGCTTACAGGTATATGCCACTGTACCTGTTGGTTCTTGTTTTGTTTTCTGATTCAGGGTCTCTCTGTAGCCCCAGGAGACCTGGAACTCCTTATGTATATCGTGCTGGCCTTAAACCTACAGAGATTTGCTTGCCTTTGCCTCCCAAGGGCTGGAATTAAAGGCATGGGCCATTACGCCCAGGTCAACCTACGCCCAGCTCAACCTATTAATATCAGTACTCCCGAGGCTGAGACAGTAGGATTGCTGAGAATTTGAGGGGAGCTTGGGTTACTTTGTCTCAAAATAGGAAAAAGGGGGAAAATAATAGTTTTCTAAAAAGTGTGAGGGGCTAAAATGGCAAGTTTTATGTTCTATATAGCTCACTAAGTTTAAATTTTTTAAATTTAAATATCCTTATGTGTCTGGCTTCTCTCGCTGAGCACGGCATCCTCCGGGCTCACCTCACTGCAGTGTGTTTCTGTGCTTTACTCTTTTATGATGGCCCAGCCGCCCACTTTCCAGATGGGCACCTGTGTTTACCCAGCCATCTGTTCTCAGACACTGTGTTTCCAGGGAAACGTACATTTATAATAAGAACTGTAAGTGATTTTTTAAATGTGGGGTTCCCTTGCAGGACTGGGAGGTTGAACCCAGGCTTCACACACGCCAAGCAAGTGCTCTGCCTCTGAACATGTTTGTAACCCTCTTTTTACTTTTTATGTGGAGACAGAGTCTCACTAAGTTACCAAGGGTAAACTTGGAAAAACTTACTCTCTTGGGGTTGGAGAGATGGCTCAGCAGTTTAAGAGCACTGACTGCTCTTGCAGAGGACCCAGGTTTGATTCCCAGCACCCACATGGCAGCTAACAACCGTCCGTAACTCTAGTTCCAGGGGATCTGACACCTTCTTCTGACCTCTGAGGGCACTGCATGACATGGGTGCCCTTACACACATGCAGGCAATACACTCATACATATAAAAATAAATTTTTAAAAATTTTTTTAAAAGAAAGACTTATTCTGTAACCCAGGCAAGCCTTGATCTTATGATCCTCCTGCCTCAACCTCCTCAGTGACAGACCTGTACCATTGCTCCTGTCTGACTCGGGGTTTTGAGACTCGGGGTTTGTGGCTCTAGTGTTTGAGCCACACAGTGATTCATAGAAGTCCCAAAGTGCTGCTCATGGCAGCATTCCAAAGCCCAGGGGACAGCTAAAAATGAAGGAGTCAAGAGCTGGACCTAATAATGGGCAAGGGAACTTTCCAGAACAAAAAGGGGAGGCAGCTAGCAAGGCTTAGAATGAAAGTATAGTCACATGCCTCTTGCCCATGGAAATGGACAAGAAATGCATCCTTGGGTGATTTTGCTATTGTGCAAACCCATGAAGTACACAGATTAAGGTGGCCCCATGTCACCAGAGACATACTCCTATGGAACCTGTTCCTGAACAGTCCATGGTTGGCTGAGATGTTGCCTGTGACTATGGTTAGGGTGTTCCCGGCACAGAAAGGAAAAGAATGCCTCAACTTACTGGCCTCTAAAGGAAAATAATACAGAAGTTCAGTGTTGCCGATTGGTGGGAAGAGAGCCAGCTTCTTCCCTGAGGCCCTAGGAACCTGGTTACAGAGGGAGGGGGTGTCAAGGCTTAAGCAGAAGGTGACATCTTGGGTTCAGGGTGAATGGAGGCCCAGGCCCACTTGGGGGTTAGCATGAAGTCACAGCCAGAAGCCCTTGTAATAGTTTTCTATCTTTGATGAGCCCTCTGGTCTCCCCTAGTTTCACAAAGACATGAAGGATGCCCAGGAGTTGCTACGCAAGGTGGACTCAGACCTGAACCAGAAATACAGCCCTGACTTCAAGGACCGGTACCAGATTGAGCTGTTGCTGCGGGAGCTAGACGTGAGTGACAACATGGGACAGGGAATGAGGCCCCACATCTCCCTGGCCCTGGGCCCCAGCAGACCTCTCATCTAGCAGCCTGCCTCATCCTCCCACAATGCATGGTGGCTGTCTGACCTGGGTCCTATGCTCTTGCAGGACCAGGAGAAAGCTCTGGACAAGTATGAAGATGTGGTACGGGGGCTGCAGAGGCGGGGGCAACAGGTGGTGCCACTCAAGTACCGCCGTGAGACACCGCTCAAGCCTATCCCTGTGGAGGCCCTCTGTGACTTTGAGAGTGACCAGGTTAGCCACTTTCTGGAGCCCTAGGCAGCCTGGGCCACACTGAATCTTAGGAGTGACACTGCTGGACCTGGGGCCTCAAGTATTCATCTCTCATGGGTGTCACTGCCCACCCTTTCTCCTAGGGGTAGATATGCACCCCTCTGTCCCCACCCCCATTCACTGCCCTGGCCTCATCCCACCAACTCAGTTACCTCAGCCATCCCAGAGTCCTAGGGAAGCCTCTCATTGGCCTACTTTGTCATGTAAGCTATCTCTAACCAATCCCTGTCTCTGGGGAATGACCAAGCCTCAGTCACACGTCTATCTGGAGACTCAGAATGCTGACAGGATAGGTCACATGGCCTAAGGATGGCAGGGGTGGGTCCCCAAAGAGAATCAAAGGGCTGGGGATGTAGCCCAATTGGTAGAGTGCTGGTGTAGCACTGCGTAAAACAGGCATAGATGGTGGCAAATGCTTATAATCTAAGTACTCTGGAGGTAGAGGCAGGAGGATCAGAACTTCAAGGTTATCCTCAGCTACATACTGAGTTTGAGGCCAGCCTGGGCTACATGAGACCTTGTCTCAAAAATAAGCAAAACCAAAGTTGAAATCAAGACTGGTACTGAGTTGGCAGATCACAAAGTATTCCCTCTGTGCTGGCTCTTCCCAGCTCTGTGGCCAAATGTTTTTAGAAGGCCCAAGAGGTGGGCTAAGACTCCCCAGGTCCAAGAGTTGGAGGGGCAGTTGGGAAGAGGGCAACTGGGCTCCCAGGCCTGAGGTGGGTCTTGATTGTTTCCCCCTATCCCACCAGGGCCTGATCTCTCGGGGGTATAGCTACACCCTACAGAAGAACAATGGGGAGAGCTGGGAACTAACGGACAGCACCGGGAACAAGCTGATAGCCCCAGCTGTCTGCTTCATCATCCCCCCAACTGACCCTGAGGCCCTGGCTCTTGCTGACAGGTACAAGGACAAAAGAGAGAAGCAAGGTGGACCCATGCCTGGGCTCCTTGAGTTTCTCCTGTCCATAATTCTGGGGATCTTCACTTTTTTTAGGGTAGAAGGACAGACACCTCCCACTTGTCCTCTCTCGAAGGCTCCAATAAGAGAGGGAGCTGTGGGTCAGGCTGGCTTGCTGAATTGGATGTCTGGCTGAGGGCTGGTACAACAAGCACTTTTTTTAAAGTACCTCAGGGACTTTGCACATCTGGAACATCCTGCCTGAAGTGCCTGTGTGCTGCTCTGCTGGTTCAGGCCCTCACTTTCAGACTTGATGGGGTCTCCAACCCCTCCTCTCTGTTCCCATGCTTCTCCACTGCACTTAGCTAAGACCTGTGTGTCAGCCATGTTGAGTCCAAGACCCTTGAAGCCAAACTTGGCAGAAAGTCATTCAATCACCTGAGAACTCTGCCAAATGAGTAGATTTAAGGGACACCTTTTTTTAGCCAGCCCATAGACATTTATTTATTGAGCACCTACTGTGTACTACTCCTTGGAGGTCACATGTTAGAGAACACTAGTGAACAGATGGTTTTAGGTGAAAGGGCTTGCACTGAAGGGAAGGGAGAGGAGAAAGGAAAAAGGCAGAAGGGATTCTTCCCAACCCTTACCCCCAAACAGCAGTTTGAACACCCTCCGAGTAACTGCTTGGCTGTAGTTGGTTACTGCCCAACCTAGGCTGGGGACCTGGGCCCTGCCTCTATGGATGGAGGGTGGTGTGCAGCTGGGATCCACAGTGCATTCTTGCTCTCACAGCCTGGGCAACCAGTACCGGAGTGTACGGCAGAAGGCAGCTGGCAGCAAGCGTGCGCTCCAGCAGCGGCACGAAGTGCTAAGGACAGAGAACCCAGGAGGTGGGTGCCAGGGCTATGTGCCAAGGGTCCAGGGAAGGGGATAGGCCATGCTCTGTGCCATGAATGAGTGACAGGTATCTATGCCAGACCAGCCCAAGGTCCCAGTTGGCCTCCTGGGTCTCATGTCACCACTGACTGCCACCCGTTTTCCCTCCTACAGATGCCTCTGACCTGCAGGGACGGCAGTTGCTGGCTAGCTTAGACAAAGTGGCCAGTGACTTGGACCAACAGGAGAAGGCCATCACAGGGATCCTACGGCCACCACTAGAGCAGGGACGGGCGGTGCAGGACAGTGCTGAGCGGGCTAAAGACCTCAAGGTACTGACAGGCCAGGAGGCAGGCTATGTCTTTGGCTCTCTGGGGCCTCTGCTCAGGGTTCCACTCCTGTGAGTCGTGGGACTTTCAAAACAAGTGCTGAACAGTTATGGAAGTGGCAGGGGAGCCGTTCCTATCACCTCCAGGTTATGGGTCAAGGATCAGGCCCTAAGGAGATTCCCAGCCCTGGTGTTCCAGACATGTCCACGGATGTGATCCAGGTGCTGCCCCAAATAGCCTGTTGTCAGCCTGACAGCAGAAATGGGAGCTACCACAGGTCCCTACTTAGTGGGGCTGCAGGCAGGGGCACATGGGCTGTGGAATTACAGGCTATTAAAACCAGGCCAGGGCTTCTAAAGAAAAGTGGGCTAGACCCCACTAGAGGCTGCTGGAGTTACCAGGAGAGATGCAGGCTCCCCATTTGTTACCACCTCATGTCCTTCTGCTTGACAACTCTCTGTGGTAGGGCCTGTTATCCTATTTTAGAGAGAAGTGTGATTCAGAGATTCAGAAATTCAGTGGCTTCTAGCACTGGGTGTGGTTGAGGAGCAGAGGCCCAGGGGCCCAGACACCATGGTGTCCTTTTCCCAAGCTCTGCAAACTCATGGAAAAGGTTCCTAATAGTATCTACCAGTGGCAGGTTGCTAGAGATTCCATGGAATCTTCTGCAAGGGGTGTAGACAGCAGCCAGTGCCCAGTGATGACCTGCTGCTTGTCTAAGTTATTGTCTTTCATAGTCCACTTGGGCCAGATGCTCATTAAAAACATAGACCCTGGGGCTGGGGAGATAGCCCAGTCAGTAAAATGCTTGCCTTGCATGAGGCACGTACAAGGACAAGGATCCAAATCCCCAGCATCCATATGGAAAGGGGGACAGAGTTGGACACTTCTGTAATCCCATTACTGGGATCAGGAACAGAAGAATCCATGGGGCTTGCTGGCTGGACAAACTAACCTAATTCACAAGCTCCAGTTCCTAATAAGAGACTTGTCTCAAAAAGATGGGGTATGGAGAGATGGCTCAGTTGATAAAATGCCTACTGGACAAACATGAAGACCTGAGTTCAGATCTCTAGCACTCATATTAAAAAAGCCAGGCATGGCTGCGCTTATCTGTAACATAATACTGAGTAGGTCAGAGACAGATGGCTCTCTGGAGTGTTCTGGTCAGTCAGTCTAGCCAATCTGTGAGTGCTGAGTTCAATGAGAGACTCTATCTTAAGAGATAAGGTGGAGAACAATTGAAAAAGACCTAATATTGACCTTTGGTCTCCACATGCACATGCACATGCACATGCACACACATGTACACATTCACACACAAGGTAGATGGTTCCTGAGAAATACCTGAGGAATATCTCTGGCTTCCCACATGTATGCACTTACACATGCATATGTACCCACCCACACACTGCCCCCCTCTCCCCAGCACGTATACACCAATAAATAAAAAATGCAGACTGCTGCACTGGTACCCGGGTACCAGATAAGCAACCCAGAGAGAGTGAGGCCTACTCAGCCATTCCTGCTGTCCTAGGGCACATCCTTGGGGGAAGAGGGCTGCTAGGCTGTGATTGACCTGGGAGGTCCTGGTCCCCATAGAACATTACCAATGAGCTGCTACGGATCGAGCCGGAGAAGACTCGGAGAACAGCTGAATGTGAAGCCTTTATGCAAGCCCTTCCAGGCAGTGGCACCACACCCTTGCTGAGGACTCGGGTGGAGGACACCAACCAGAAATACGAGCGCTTGGTGCAGCTGCTGGATGCAGCCCAGGAGAAGTAGGTGGCAACCGGGCAGCAGGGTGGTTGGTGTGGAGTCAAGGACCCATCCATCCCCTATATATACATGATGCTGGCATGTATCCTCAGGGTGGATGTGGCCAATCGCCTGGAGAAGAATCTACAGCAGGGCAGGGAGTTGCTGGCTTTGCATGAGAACCGGCTGACCCAGGATGACACGATGCCCGAGAGTGGCCACATCCTGGACAGCAAGAGGCAGGAGCTGGAGGTGAACCTGAGGCCTGGGGGTCGTGAGGGCCTTTCTCTGGGCTCAGGGAGGAACTTGAGACATTTATCTCTACCATGAGACAGATGAGGCTGTAGGCCCTGCATGTTCTGAGTACGGAATGTGCCAAGCTGGGGTTATAAATGAAGGCAGTGGCACCAGTCTTGGGTGTTCCCAAGTCTTTTAGCCTGTGAGGTTTCAAGGCCAGCATTTCACCATGAAGGGGGCTGCAGAAAACACAGGTTTCTGGGTCTCCTAGGAAGCACATATGGCATCCTGGGCCCATGGCTCCCAGGGCAGGTCCATAGGCACTGTCACCAGTGGCTCAGGACACATGTTTGCCTGACCCAACACTGAGGCACTGTAGTGTGTAGCCTGCAGTGGCCCTTCTCCATCTCCTTCTTGTGACCAGCTTTAGAGTCAAGGAAAATGGGCTTGGCAAGGGCCTTGTGGCTGGAGGATGGCAGGCTTTTACAGTCAGGCATATATGTATGCTACCTCTTCAACAGTCTGTAGGTGATTTTTTAGTTTTATTATAATGAAAAGGAACATTACAGAAGTGGCCCAAATTTGGTGAGGCTGTGCCATCGTTCCTGTTCCTAGAATTGACCCTCCTCTCAGAGCAGATGGCCCAGTGCTCTAGCAGTTTTGCCTGGTTCCTAGGAGCTCTGCCCACAACACTGCTATCTTCCTATCTGGCAGGCCATGGCTTCTGAGCTGCAAGCCCAGAAGTCCCTCCTGGGTGAGGTGGAACAGAACCTGCAGGTGGCCAAGCAGTGCTCAAGCTCAATGGCCAGCCGATTCCAGGAACACTGCCCTGATCTGGAGCGCCAGGAGGCCGAGGTGCACAAGCTGAGCCAGCGCTTTGACAACCTGAGTCAGCAGGTGGAGCACAGGTGAGGGGTGCCTCATATAGGTGGCTGGGGCGGGGGCCTATGTTGGCCAGCCTGCCTTAAGACACCAGGCTAGGTCCTCTGTTGTCACTAGAGACTGTTCACTACATTCTTCTCCTCCTCTTCCTTCTTCTCCTCCATTTTCATGTGTATGGTATGCATGCTTGTGTGTGGGCACACATGCACGTGTGTAGAGGTACACGTATGTGCATACAGAGGCCTGAAGTTGATATCGGGACTCATCCTTGATCAATTTTCCACTGTTTTCATTGAGGCAGGGTCTCTCACTCAAACTCAGTGGTCATTGAGATGGCTAATCTCACTAGCCAGTTTGCTCTGGGGATCCTGTCACCATCTTCTGCAGCTGGAATTACAGTTGGGCTGCCATGCTCACCCAGCATTTTTATGTGTTCTGGAGATCTGAACTCGAGTTTGTTTTTTTTGTTTTTTTTTTCCTTTCTGCAGCCAACATTTTAACCAATGTTAGGTTAGGTCCCCTGCCCTAGTTTCCTCTTTATGAATAATGCAGTACACACAGAGACTCAATCCAATGACCAGTCTGTGCCCACCTTTTGTATGTGGATGTGTGTGTGCGCGTGCATGTGCACCATGGCATATGTGTGGAAATCAGAGACCCAGGGTGTTAGTCCTTGCCTTCTACCTTGTTAGAGACAGGGTCTGAGCTCACTGCTGCATATGCCAGGCTGGCTCATAAGCTTCCCGAGATTCTTGTCTTTTCTCTCTGTAGGAGTGCTGGGATTACAGATGCATATACTACTGTGTCCAGCTTTTACATGGGGTCTGGGAACTGAACTCAGGTCCTCAGGCTTGTACTGAGCCATCTCTCCAGCCCCAACCACCTCCTCATTCCCACCTTCTCAGGCATCCTTCCACAAATCACATCCTCCTGGGCAGGTGGATGAGTGATGTCCCCGTGTGCTTCTGCTTACCTTTCTCCTGTGCTTTTGTCAGCCAGTGTGATCTCCCCCACTCTGCTTCATCTGTCCCTTAGTGGGTGGGGAATCAAGCTACAGAGTCTGCAGGTTTTTTTGAATTTTTTTTTTTTTTTGGTCATTCAAGTTCTCCACTCCACCCCCCTATCCCCCATCTTCCTCTCTTGTCTTATGTAGCCCAGGCTGGCCTCAAATTCAGTATATAGCTGAGGCTGGTCTTGAATTCCTGATTCTCCTGCCTCTGACTCCTGGGTGCTGAGATCACAGGTATGGGCCAACAGGCCTTGAAAGGGTCAAGTGTCTTAGTGATCTGTGTCTCTCAAAGGAGTTGTTCACTCAGTCTGTTGAGGGGCACTGACATAGTCATCACCACCATCTTCTTGCCGTCCTTACAGTATCTTTAGGATCTGAAGGGACACCCTTGCCCTTGTGTTCATTTTTTCTTTTTTTTTTTTTTTGCATTTGTAACTTTTTTCCTTTCTAGTATGTCTAAAGTTGATGGGTTTAATGATAATTTCAAAGAGTGAGCTTTGTGTTCTAGTTCCTTCTCTCCTGTGCTGTTTCCATGCCTTCCTTTCTGCTGCTTACCCTGGGTTTAATGTATACTTTTTCTTAAGGTGGAAGCTTAGTTGGTTTGACATAGCTTTTCTTTCCTCATAATGCCACGCAGTTCCCTCTAAACACTGCTTTTGCAGTGACACTGAAAATTTCCTCTTGGGTGAGTTGGGAAGATTTCCAGGCTTTTCCTGGGGCTTCTCTTTGCTCCTGTAATATACAGTGGGCCTCTCTGCTTGTGAGGACACAGCTAACCCTCTCCCTTCTTAACCATTCTCTTTCTGGTAAATGTTTAGTGTGTGTCCAGTTTGTTTACATTTGGTTTTCCTTCTTTAAAAACTCGTAGGTTGGTTCCTACTTCCATCTTCAAATGTTAAACCCACATTGGGCTGCATATGGACTATAGGCCACCAGAAAAAAACAAAAACAAAACTCAATAGGGCTAGGAAGACAGTTCAGTCAGCAAGGTTCTTGACACACAAGCATGAGGATTTGAGTTTGATCCCTAGCATGCATATATTTATAATCCCAGTGTGGGGAGGTGGAGACAGGTGGACCCCTTGGACTCACTAGTCAGCCAGCCTAAACCTACCCAGGGGATTTGAGGCCATTGAGAGACCCTGTCTTAGCAAAGTAGGTGATACTTGAGAGATTACACTTGCGGTTGACCTCTGGTCTCCAGGTGCGTGTGTATAAAACACACACACACACACACACATACACACACACACACACACACACACACACATACACACCCAACTACACTTGAAGGGTCAGTGAAGCTTCTGCTTGTTGTACAGAGCCCTGAGGCCTGAGTGGCTTTGTCCCTTCAGGGCCCAGAGCCTGCAGAGCGCCAGGGCTGCCTATGATGAGTACCGCCGTGGTTATGACTATGTGCTCCAGTTCTTGGCCAACACACCCAATTACGAGCCCCAGGAGACAGATAGCCTCAACCGGGTGGAGACCAAACTAAAGAACCAGAAGGTAAGATGGCTACTTCCACTTCTGCAGGCATCATGATTGGAGGGTCAAGCCCCTTTCAGCAGAGGGAACCAACCCTTTAGGAAGTGGAGCAAGGCCAAGGACTGGCTGTGCCACCTTCCCTGGGCCACAGTTCCCAACACTGCCTTACAACAAGCACTGAGTATCTTACTCATCCTTCCCTTCTCAGTGTCCAGCCTGGGGCTTGGCTCAGTAGATACCCATGTGGCTTGGCAACATGGTGCATGGCCACCAATACTCAAGAGGAGCCCTGTGGGCTTTCCATCTCCTCAGTGCCACAAGCCATGTCTCCAGGCTGGGGATGAGAACCTCAGAAATGCAGTGACTGGGGCTAGGGAGGTGGCTTAGGTAGAAAAGTGCTTGCCTCGCAAGAATGAGGACCTGAGTTCAATCCCCAGCACCCATCTAAAAAGCCAGGCATGGCTATGTATGTCTGTAACCCCAGCACTGGGTTGGAATGGGGGGAAGGGAGGAGACTGGTGGATCCCTGGAGCTCATCAATCAGCCAGCATAGCCAAATTATGAGGTTCAGTGAGAGGCCCTGTCTCAAAAAATAAGTGATAGGGGCTGGAGAGATGGTTCGGCGGTTAAGAACACTGGTTGTTCTTGCAGAAGACCTGGGTTTGAATCCCAGCACCCACATGGCAGCTAATAACTGTCCGTAACTCCAGTCCCAGGGGATCCAACGGCCTCTTCTGACCTCTGCAGGGATTGTATGACACAGGTGCACTTACCTACATGCAGGCAATGCACGCATATACATAAAATAATAAAATTTTTTTTAAAGTGATAGAGGAAGACATGTGATGTCGACTTTTGGCCTCTATATGTACACATACACACACATCAGACACGCACACACACAGAGAAGAAAATCCAGTGGCTAACATTCAACTTGTCCTCCCAACTTGCTGTCCCTTCCTCGGCTTGTTTCCTTCTCTACAAACAAGCTCCTCAGACATGGCTCACAAACTCACTAGAGAATTACATGAGATAATCTGAGGATGCTGTCGAAGCAGTGCCTGGCATTTCAGAGCATGCAATAAACACCTCTTTCCTGGCACAGATAACCATCCTCTTGGCCCTTGTTCCAGGCCTTAGTTTTAGTATTACCCTTTGTGGTGAACAAATGTACACAAGCAACAGTTCATTAAGCTTTGAACTACAGCAGGGTAACTTTCCACTCTAAGGATTCAAGCTACCCTAGCAATAGGATTGGTATTTTGTTGTTTTGTGTTTCAGTTTTGGTTTTAAGATCTCTTGTTTCACAGAACCTGCTTGATGAGATAGCAAGTAGGGAACAGGAAGTACAGAAGGTCTACAAGGATTCCCAGCAATACCAGCAAGCTGTGAAGGTGAGCCATGAGCCCTCTGTTGAACACACAAGGCAGGGGCTTTTCCACCAAGAGACAGAGATGCTCCTACAGGTTGCTGAGAAACAGGGCAGGAGCCATTGCATAGGCCTAGCCCTTTGAGAAAACAATATGGTACCAGACACCCAATAGAATCAAAGAATTATACTCTTTGAAGTAGTAAACTCTTTGGGTGGTGGGGGGGAGTATCTTAAAGGAAAAAAAAATCAGGTTAAACAAATTGTGTGACAGCCCTATTTATAATAGTCAGCAATTCCCTACACAGGACCAGCTATGGGAATGACAAACATCCACTTGATGTTTGAAGTCATCAACTGGGAAATGGAAGGTCAGTGGTAGTAGAATCAGGAGGAAAGGCTTAGGGTGCAGTGTTCACTGAGGAAGCACAACATCTGGCCTCTGGGCCTGTTGGAAAGCCTGGAAGGCTCCCTTGGTTTGTGTCTTGGCTGTAGAGGGGAACTGCAGGGCACATTTTCTTGTCTGAATGTCACTGAGGCAATTATGGCTGTTGTCTTGGGACTTCCTGGCCACCAGCTCAGGTGCAGGTGTGAGGACGATGTGTGATTATAAAATCAGCTCTTAGCCAAGAGCAGATATGAGTCTTCTAGAAGGAGCATAAAAACACAGCAGCCTCTTCTTGGCTACCCTTTCCTGCCAACCATACTTTCTTGCCCAGGACTATGAGCTTGAAGCAGAGAAGCTAAGGTCCTTGCTGGACCTGGAGAATGGAAGGAACAGTCATGTGAACAAGAGAGCCAGGCTGCAGTCTCCTGCTGCCAAGGTGAAGGAAGAGGTAAGCTCTGCATGCAGGCCGCCAGAGGTTCTCCAGGTGCTACAAGCAGGCCTCTGTGATATATACGGAAGGGAAGCCAGGGGCAAGAGCCCTCCTGGGACAAGCAAACTTGGAAGAAGAGAAAGAACTTGCTTTGGGACAATGACATCAATATGTCTAATAAGGCAACCTGGTAGGGGCTCTAGGCCAGTGCCAGACACATGGGAAGCTCCCACCTTATCCCCCTGTGCAGGTCTGCAGTGGCGGATAGTATTAGCTCATGCCACATGGGAAAATAGTATTTAGAAAGACTTGCTCACAAGTCTTTGGGCCAAGACTCAAATCTGGGTCTTCTGACTGAGCTCCAATGGTGGAGCTATGGGTAGGAATGGGCAAGCAGCACACCTGTTCCCAGCTGCCAGACTCTTTACAGACTATGTTCAAGACTATTGCTCTTGTGGCCTGTTGGCTTGTCTGTTGACCATTAAAACTTCTCTGTAGGAAGCTGCTCTTGCTGCCAAGTTCACAGAAGTTAATGCCGTCAACAGACAGAGGCTGCAGAACCTGGAGTTTGCGCTGAATCTCCTGAGACAGGTAATCCATCTTAGAGAGAATACTTCAAGTTCTCCTACCCCATGAGAAATCAAAGATTCCTCTGCCTCAGAGGCACAGCCTGTGAATACAGGGAGTGTGTCTGACAATACTTCTGAGCAGGACTAGCACAAATGCTAGCCAAGCATTTCTACTGACATGGGATAATTTCCATACCAATCCAAAAGATGTTTGCTAAGGATATACTTATCTTTTTCAAATGCATGTGTGTTCATGTATGTGAAGGTATATGTGCCTGTACATGTGCGGCTGGTACAGAACCACCATCAAGTGTCATCCTGAGAAACATCATTTCCTTCCTTTGAGACAGGGTTTCTCATTGGCTTGGAGTTCACCAATTAGACTAGGCTAATTGGCCAATGAGTCCCAGGGATCTTCCTATCTCCTTCTCCTTGGCAGTGGGACTACAAGTGCACACCACCATACCCAGCATTTTTACATGGGTATGGAAGACAGAACTCAGGTTCTCATGCTTACACAGCATCTTCCCAGCCCACAAAGTTATTTTTTAGGAGTCTATAATGCTCATGACATCATCTGACACAGAAACTAGAAGCAACTCAACATCCCTCAGCAGTGGGTTGGCTAAGATGCGACCATCCAATGAATGGCAGGCAGTGCTGGTGTTAAACAATGACATGGAGCCCTCTGAGCTAGGGTGGCATTCTGCCCTCTAGTCAGGAACTACAGAATAGGAGACTATTGTTTACATAGGAAAAGTAAACACCTGTTGTGCAAGGCCCACGGAGGCCCGATCACCTGTTAGTGGAGTTACTGATGGTTGTGGGTACTGGGACGGGAACCCAGGTCCTCTGCAAGAACAGCAAGTGCTCTTTACTGCTGAGCCATCTCTCCAACTCAAGTTGTGTTTATTTTTAAGTAGTTTATCTGTAACATGACATGTAGGTTTCGTGTTTACAAGGTCTCTAGTATTATTTTAAATGCAAAATGTTGTAGAATTGTGCACACTGACTCAAGCTTCTGTCCTGAAATCTCTAAGCAAGCTTAAATGAATATACTGATGTTTAAGATATTAAGTCAATGCACAGTTGAATGGAAGTTGAAAATAAACTCAATAGAAAAATTAAAGTGAACACATGGGGATCACTAAAAATATATGCTTTGTTAGGAGCACAGAAAATGTCTCCAAGGATGACAGACATCCGCTAGGGACAGGGCCAAAGGTGAGAGGCTGGTTTCACTTCAAACTCCTCTGTGGCTGCAGAACATTTTACCTCATTCAATTTAAAAAAGCTTGTCTGACTTTAAAAGTAACCCTAGAACACTAGTGGAGTCCCTTGGGATCATAGTATAACGAGCCCAACCTGTCCTAGGTGAGCAGACTCAGCTGCCTCTAACCATGCATTGTCTTCTCTGCCACAGCAGCCAGAAGCAGGAGTGACCCATGAGACCCTGCAAGGGAGCAAGCTGGGCTCTGATGTGGAAGAGACTTGGAAGATTAAGAAGGAACTGGAGGAAGAGATGGAGCGAAGGCAGCAGCTGGAAAACGAGGTCAAGAGTGCCCGGGAAGAAATCCGGACCCTGCAGGATCAGGGGCCTCAGGAGTCGCTGGTGAGGAAGGAGGTGCTGAAGAAGGTGCCAGACCCTGCACTGGAGAAGAGCTTCCAGCTGCTAAAACAGACCCTAGCTGATGAGCAACACAAGAACCAGCTGCTGCAGGAAGAGTTGGGGGCACTGCAGCTCCAGCTAAGAGTCCTGGAGCAGGAGACAAGGGACGGAGGGCAGGAGTATGTGGTCAAGGAAGTCCTGCGCATCGAGCCAGACAGAGCCCAGGAGGACGAGGTGCTGCAGCTTCAGGAGGAGCTGGAGGCACTGCGGAGGCAGAAGGGTGCCCGGGAGGCCGAGGTACTCCTCCTGCAGCAGCGTGTGGCTTCTCTGGCTGCAGAGAAGAGCAGGGCCCAGGAGAAAGTCACAGAGAGGGAGGTGGTAAAGCTTCAGAATGACCCCCAGCTGGAGGCAGAATACCGGCAGCTACAGGAGGAGTACCAGCAGGAGGGCACACTCCGGGAGAAGCAGGAAGAGGAGCTGAACTTCCTGCAGACCAAGCTCAGGAGGCTGGAGAAGGAGCGGGCCATGGCTGAGGGCAAGATCATGGTCAAGGAGGTGCTCAAAGTAGAGAAGGATGCAGCCATGGAGAGGGAGGTCAGTGACCTCACTCGCCAGTATGAGGATGAGACTGCCAAGGCACGCAATGGCCAGCGGGAGAAGACAGAACTGCTCCGAAAGATATGGACCCTGGAGGAAGAGAATGCCAAGGTGATGGTGCAGGAGAAGGTCCGGGAGATCGTGCGGCCAGACCCAAAGGTGGAGAGTGAAGTGGCCAACCTCCGTCTGGAGCTGGTAGAGCAGGAGCGCAAGTTCAGGGGTGCTGAGGAGCAGCTCAAGAGCTATCAGAGTGAGCTGGAGAATCTGCGAAAGCGCGGGCCACAGGTGGAAGTGAAAGAGGTGACCAAAGAGGTCATTAAGTACACGACTGACCCCGAGACCGAGCAGGAGCTCCAGCGGCTCAGGGAGGAGATCATGGACAAGACCAGACTGATTGAAAGGTGTGACCTAGAGATCTACCAGCTGAAGCAGGAGATCCAGGCCCTGAAGGATGCCAAGCCACAGGTCCAGACCAGAGAGGTGGTCCAAGAGATCCTGCAGTTCCAGGAAGACCCCCAAACCAAGGAGGAGGTGGAGTCTCTGCGTGCAAAGCTGTCGGAAGAGCAGAAGAAGCAGGTGGACCTGGAAGGGGAGCGAGTGTCCCAAGAAGAGAAGATCCAACACAAGGAGGAGGAGCTGGCACAAGGCAAGGAGAGGGTCATTCACCAGGAGGTGGTGCAGTACGAGGAGGAGCCATACCTGCGTGCCGAAGTGATTGCCTTCACAGACAGCATTGATGCAGAGCTGAGGCAGATTGACAAGCTGCGTGCAGAACTTCGGAGGCTGCAGTGCCGGCGGGCAGAGTTGGAGAGGCAGCTGGAAGAGCTGGAGCAAGAGCGGCAGGCACGCAGGGCAGCTGAGCTGGAGGTGCAACGGCTACAGCAGCGGCTGGCTGCACTGGAGCAGGAAGAGGACAAGACTGGTGAGAAGGTGACTCACACACAGAAGGTGGTGCTGCAGCAGGACCCACAGCAGGCCAGGGAGCATGCCCTACTCCAAGTCCAGCTGGAGGAAGAGCGGCACCGGCGGCAGCTACTAGAGGGTGAACTCGAGCCCCTGCGCAGGAAGCTAGCTACCCTGGAGAAGGCGGAGGTCAAGGAGAAGGTGGTCTTCTCTGAGAGCATCCAAGTGGAGAAGGGTGACACTGAACAAGAGATCCAGCGACTCAAGAAGAGCCTGGAGGAAGAGAGTCGGAACAAGAGGGGACTGGATGCTGAGGTGACCCGGCTGGAAACCAAATTATCTGAGCTAGAATTCTACAATTCCAAGTCATCCAAGGAGCTGGACTTTCTGAGGGAAGAAAACCACAAACTGCAGCTGGAGCGGCAAAATCTGCAGCTGGAGACCCGGAGGCTCCAATCGGAGATTGAAATGGCAGCGACAGAAACACGAGACCTGCGGAACATGACCACTGTGGACTCTGGAACCCACATCAACTCCAGACTGTGGTCTCTGGAGAAGGAACTGGATGACCTGAAGAGGATGTCCAAGGATAAGGATCTGGAGATTGATGAGCTGCAGAGACGCCTGGGCTCCGTGGCTGTCAAGAGGGAGCAGAGGGAGAACCACCTGAGGCGTTCCATTGTGGTCATTGACCCCGACACGGGCCGGGAGCTGTCCCCAGAAGAGGCCCGCCGGGCTGGGCTCATCGACTGGAACATGTTTGTGAAGCTAAGAAGTCAGGAGTGTGACTGGGAGGAGATATCAGTGAAGGGCCCCAATGGGGAATCGTCAGTAATCCATGACAGGAAGTCTGGCAAGAAGTTCTCTATTGAGGAAGCCCTGAAGAGCGGCAGGCTGACCCCTGCCCACTATGATCGCTATGTCAACAAGGATATGTCCATTCAGGAGCTAGCAGTTTTGGTGTCTGGGCAAAAGTAGGCCTGACTCTTCTGTCTGGCTCTTTTTGGAGGTGGATGGTTGTCTTGCTCCTACCAAGTGACCTCCTGGGTGTCTTCTGCTCTCCAGCCCTCATGCAGGCTTCTGACCTGGGTGCTTTATCCATGCTCTGTCAGGCTGTTTACAATGGCAGCTCACATGCTAATGGGATAGGTACTGGCTAGATGGGCAACTCTCAGCCTCATTCAGCCTGGGTGAGTCCCTTGCTCCCACCTCTGATGATCTGATAACCTCAGTGCATTCTGTTTCTCTCTTTCCCATACACTCTCATCAACAGTGTGATTCCCCAGAAACTACAGCACAAGAGGACATGGCTGACATGCTTATCAAGACAGCATGGACCTTAGCACAATCACATGGTGAAGTCAAGGGCCAGTCTCCTTTCTGCCTGTCTCTACTCATCAAAGAAGTAGACTGTCAAAGCTGCCAACCTGCCTTCTCAACCCTCCAGCTTTCTGGCTGAGATCCAAGTCTCCATCGGCAGTACCCCTTAGTAGCTATTCTGCCCATGAAACAGACTGGAGCTATGCTAGAAAAGGTGCCCTGAACCCACAACACCTGGTTCTTGGTACTAGAGCAGCCATGCTGTGCCAGGAAGACAGGCATCAGCAATTGTTTCCTGGTTCTGAAATGCAAATTGTAGTAGGATGGTGTTGTGTTAGCCTTAGTTTCAGCACCTTACAAGTCTTGCTCATTATCTCACTGGTATTTAGATATATGAAAGTTGATTATTCAGCAAGCGAATTCCTGGTTCTCTGTATCTCATGTATTATGTAAGAAAATGGGAAATGATAGGAAACTTATTTATGGCATGAAAATAAAAACCTGGTGGCTTGATTCTAACTCATGGCAAGGGTCACTCTACACGAGGTTGATTCCCACTCCGTGACTCTCAGCCACAATGGGCATTCTGTACACAATGGGGCTTCTGTGCAAGGAAGAATCACTTGCAAATACAGTAAAAACAAAAGAATGAGGAAAGACATTTTGGAAACCTCGAAAACAATTTATTGAGTTGCTTTATACAAGATTAACAATTTCCATACCACCCCCTAACATCAACAAAGTCGCTGCACAAAAGCCACAGCCCCTCTCACACCTAAGAAACGGCCATGCCTGGTTAAGTGCTCAGAGCCTTGCGCCTGCCAAGGAAACCCCTGCAGCCCCCTGAGCGCGCTCCACCCCACCCTTCGCTGCAGCCGGCTGTAGATCTCCCTGGCCATGGCTGTTTAAGTCATTCACTCTTTCATTACCACAAATAAAGCATAAACAAGGAAAAGAAATCTCATCAACTCCCCATCAAAGAAACATTTCCCTGAGGCAAGAGGCATCGCTAGATTCCTAAAGATGAGGGTATCCTGCTCTAGCTGCACACGCAGTGGCATGTGGGGAGGAGGGAGCACCGAAGGGGCAGGGGGGCTAGGGCCCGTTGTTTGACGGGCAGAGGAGCCTGGAGAGTTCCCACTGCTCAGCCTTTGCTGGCGGCCTCAGCTCGGCTTGGAGCTCTATACAAATCTCTTCTTTGGCTCTTTTGCTACTACCTAAGACTATTCTGTAAACAAACTGGAAATCCAAGTTGCAAAAAATATATATAATAAAGGGATAAGGAATCCACATGGCCCAGTGTGAAACCACTTGATTCTTCCATACAAAAGGAGTAAGAGCAGAGGCCAGGCCGAGGAGCTGACAAAGGTCTTGCTCCCAGTAAAGCAGAAAGGCAGTCACCTCCATAGGAATAGGGAACTACTGAGTATCACACCCTGGAGGCAGGAACCAAAAACACACCTGTCTCACCCAGGGGTGCACACAGGGTGCTGGTACTCTCCCACTATATGGCAGATTCACAGGACACGCAAGGGTCCTCCAAGTCCATGTGACACAACCACTGGGTGAGTGTGGCAACCTGGTGATGGGAGCTCTGCAATCACTGTCCTTGTCTGTCTCCTGTCTACTCCCCAGACTCTCTGTGCACTCTCCAAGTCCATACAGAAGCCCACTGCCCAGAGAGTGCCAGCACCCCAGGCCTGTTCTCTGTGGCAGATGCTTCAGAGGCCTGTCCCACAGCTCTGCCAGAGTGAGATTTCTAGGAATAAGACAAACTGGAATGTCAACCTGTAGCTTGGAACCCCTGGGCCCTCAGACATAGGAGGGCTGAGGGGCTCCCCTGCGGTCCACCTGCACCAACTCTAGAAAAACAGAGCCCCAGCTCCACTGGAAGCAGGCATTTGGGGGCCCAGATGACTTTCAAGTCAGTACAGCACAAGTTATGATGTGCAGCCATAAAAAAACCAATTAAATAAACTGTATCTTAAATACAGACTAGCTTTAAAAAAAGTCTTCATCTCAGATCCATTCAGGGGGCTGAATGGATGTGTGTTGTCAAAGTCTGCTCCACCATAAAGGCACTGGAATTATGTCTTCCTATAATGTGATGTGTGAAGAGCAGTCCCATTCTATCCAATGCGTTCAAAGTTCAAATGGTAATGATGAAAACAGCCCAAGACAGATGTCTTTAAAAATCCTACCATGATTATTCAATCTACAAAGGTCTTTTCTCTATAAGAGCTTCATTGTCATGTTCCAAGGAGAAACTGGCCCCTACAATGAGTACACATTAGGTATTCTTAGTATTCTGTAAGGAGACAGGGTCTCCTATTTGTGGCTCTGGCCCAGGTCTTGTTCTCTTGAGCACAGCTTGAGGAGGGGATGGTATCACAACCATCCAGGGATCCTACTGTGACCAGGAGGAGGCCCTGACCAGTAGGGAGCTGTGAGGTACTCAGACCAAATGCCAGAGGTTGGGCAGATCTAGAACACAGCTCTGCCAACTAATCTGCCATGGGAGCTCGTACACACTGTGCTTCCCAATATGGCCTAGGCATGCTTCCCAGCCCAGAGCTGCCCCTCCATGCCATTCAGCAACAAAGCCATAAAGCCCAGAGCACCAGGTCATTAAGTGCTTTGTGAGCAGCATGAGCCACCACTTGGTTGGAGGCCCATCAGAAGTGCTAAGAAGTGTTCCACTTTGAACTCACACCTGCTCCAGAAGAAAATCAGTGGGCAGGAAGAGCACAGCCAATGTCTGTCATCAGAGACCTATATATATTGGGCATCCTCCTAGACCCAAGTCAATCATGCTCGTCTTCCAAAGCAGTCACAATTTCCTTGGTACAATAGGCCCTTTCCCATGAAGCTGTGAAGCATCTGGAAAATAATAGGCAAAAAGAGAAGAAAGTCTTTCAGATACTCCAATTCCTTTAGGACAGCTTAAACAAACCTCACAGGAATGTAAGTGGTAATTGTCACCAAGCACAGGGCATTCTAAGGCTCAAGCCTCAAAACACTTGACAGTGGCTGTGTGCATTGTTATCTGCAACAGCCTTCAGTATGCACGGACACTAGAACCGTGCAAGCAGGTGGCTGCTGAGCATTGTCTGTAGAACAGGCACTCTGCAACATGTCATGGGCCACTGCATGCCTCAGTCAGCAATGCCATCCTATAGCAAGGCCTGATGATCACACAGAATCCAAGCAATGATCATTCTCTTGCCATATAAAGACACTCAGGTACTGGAGGGACAAGGGCAACAACATTGAGTTCATATGGGAGGAAGGGAAAGCAAAGCAGACACAAGTTGCAGCTCACTGTTAAGACACTGAGCTCTCCTTCCCAGTCCCTCCCAGAGCTCTGCAACATCCACAGCACAGCTCAGAAGGAAGCTCTCTCTGCTAACCCATTTTTCATAGCGGTTTTGATTGCTCCCCAGTTTTTTTCTTTTCCTTCCTGGTACTGATAATGCTAGGCAAGTGCTCTACCATTGAGCTATAACGCCAGTCCTTCAGGTACCTTTTGAAGACCAGTGGGAAAAGAGGAAAATTGTATAAGAACTCAACCTCTTTCTTTCTTTCCCCATCCCTTTATTAGCTGAAAAAAATACCACAGATCCAGGTCTGTTTCCAATGGCTCTTCAATGACTTTTGTTTTTCTCAAAAAGGACCGTTTCCAAATCAAGTGAAGATCAAATATCTCGCTTTCACACCACATAGGCTAGGTAGCTGGGGAGGCTACCATACTGCACTTAACTCCACTGGCAGGTGCTAGTCTATGAAGGAAGTCCTTACATGCCACTGCTTCTCCAGAGGAAAAGGAAAAAACTACTGTCACAGGCTTACTCCTTAAAGAAGCCAACTTCTCACTTGGAAACCCTCATCCCGACATTGCTCCTGACATTCACTACAGTCTTCAGTTTGAGGACATGGATACCAGGGACCCGCAGCAGACAAGGAGCTGTGGGGCCCATATTGTCCACTAGTGGGTAACAGCACACACAGCCACAGAGTCTGCATCTGACTCCTGCCCTACACCAATCCCAGAGTTCCCTCAGTTCAGACTGCCTCCTCCCAGTGTGCTTGGAACAAGTCTAGAGTGGTAAGAACACCAGGTCAAAATCAAGTTCTTACTAGGTGCCTATGGCACATATGTCCCATTCTCGTACCATCAACCTGGCAACACATATACCTAGAACTTTCAAAGCTGCCTACTTCCAGAAGCACCATTCTGTCAGGAGACACTGGCCTCATTCCTTGTGTGCTTCTAAATCTGTTTCCATGAAGAATTAAACCAGGTCCAGGCCAACTTCAGAGATAAAAGGTCCCTCCTCACAGTATTGTACTATGGCCTCTCAATTGCCTTGTGGATACTGGTTCTCTTTCACAAAACTAAGTATAGCAAGTCTCTACCACCAGATGATGCCTAGTAGAAAAAAAGCATTTTACCATGAAGGCCCTCCATTGGCTCTCCTTGGAGGAGAGCTACCATTACCTTCTTTCTCTTTAGATGCATGTTAAGGGTTGGAATACCTCTGCTTCACACTCAGGCTTCACTACTTCCTGTTCTCACACAGGCTAAGCCTGTCCCAGTGGCCATTCCAAGTGTGAACCAAGAGAAGCCTGTAGTGGTACAGGCTTGTCATTCTGATACCCACAAAGACACAGTCTCGAAAGACAAAGCAAGATGACCACACAGAGACGAGGCAGAGCCGGCTGAAAGCCCTGGCAGCATGGCTCCTAAGCGTGGAAGGGAATGACGCACAGAGCATGTGGCACACTGCCCATCTGGCAATTACCTGGCAGACTCTGCGGGACATGGGTGGACACAGCAGCGTGTGGGAGAGGCGCTGCATGGGGTGGGCTGGAGTGCAAACCAGCCAGAAGACCTGAGAGAAACAGGAGGGGAGAGAAGAACAAAACACACACATTGAAGACAAAACAGAAAAGCAGCTCGGGCAATCCAGAGCCTCAGACAACCTGTGGGCCAGGCTGGAGTAAAACCCAAAGCTTGGGGGGCTCTGCATGTTCCCAGGAGGTGCTCCCCACAATCACACCAAATATACACAAGACCCATCAGACCCAACATAGCACACAACATAGGGACAGAGGCAAGAAACAGCACTTACTGTGGCTGAGGCCATGATGGAAGGTCCCAGGGGCTGGGCCTGTGACAATGGCATCCTTAGAAACCCCTGCTTTGGCAGAGGAATCTGCACTGAAGGAGAGTACATGAAGTGGAAATGGGACAGGGGTGGTTATGATCCCCAGGGAATTCGAGTTCATGGCCCCAGGAAGCTTGGGGCTGCTGGACTTGTAGGATGAAGGTAGCAGGTTTAAGGGAGAAGAGCTGGTCAGCAGCACTGCCCCACCGGTTCCTTTCTGAGAAAGAAACACATACACAGTCAGAACCTAACCTGTTCACAGTCAACCCACACCAAATTAATCACACATGACAAGGAAGACATCAAACACTTACTGTATAGCTCCCAAAAGAGGAATGAGGAAGTCTCTCTGAGCTAGCACAGAGTGGCTTCCAGGTTAAACAGTTCATTTTAAATATGCTTCTTTTATAAAGGAAAATAATATACCATGTATGGATATCCATAATGCATAAACTCATATATATATTTAAGCATAAAATATACAACATATACATTCATATTTTGTATGTATTATTACATAAATCTGTGTAACAAATACATTAGGTCACTAAGACCTAAATTTGGTTTTTGTTATTGTTGCTTCTTCTTGTATTTAGAATCGCAAAACTTTTTATTAAAAAGCATCTTCAGACAAATTTAAAATCTAGGAGAGTCCTTAAAACCACCCAAGGAATTCATAAATACAGAGAGGCAAGTTTCTCATTTAAAAAGATCCTATTGAAAATGAAGATGGTAACAGGCATTAGTCTCACTCCTGAGAGGCAGTAAAATCCTCACCATCAAGAATTAAAAACAGGAGGGGCTAGAATAGATGGCTCAGGGATTAAGAGCACTGGCTGCTCTTGCAGAGGACCTGGGTACAATTCCCAGTACCCACATGGCAACCAACAACTGTCCCTAACTTCAGTTCCAGGGACTCCAGCACCCTCTTCTGACCTCCTCAGGAATTGCATGCCATTGGCATACTTACATACATACAGGCAATACATTCATACACATAATAAAATATTTTAAAGAATTAAAAACAAAAATTTTATGCACATATATGAGTATTTTGCCTCCATGTATATAAGAGCATCATATGTGTCCAATACCCTTAGAGGCCAGAAGAGGGTGTTGGATCCCCTGGAACAGGAGTTATGGACAGTTGTTAGCCCCATGTAGGTACTGGAAACTGAACCCAGGTCCTCTGCAAGAGTATACAGTGTTATTACCTGTTGAGCCATCCCTCCAGCTCCACCATCCAGAATTTATGGTTTAATTCCTCCACTAAACAGGATGAGACTTTTATGGTTTAATCAAGATGAAGTGTCCCTAAGTAACATTCCTAGCTGGTTCTCCACAAATTCAAGTTCAGGTGACAGTGAACATTCCTGTCCTATCTTCCTTTTAGATTTGTGCCTATTCTCTCCTTTTCATCACAAAGTAAATTGTAAAGCTTCTCTGTAGCATAATACTGGAATGTGGCCAGTGAAATCTAACTGCACTGAAATCATACATGATTGAACTTTCAACTAGAATAAATAGTGCATATTCATGAATTCTAATGCCACAGTAAGTTAGAATATAAAGGAACTCAAAGAAGTCTTGTTAAGCTGGGCTATAATTGAGATTAGGAGGCAGGGGCAAGTGGATCTTTGTGAGCTGTAGGCCAATCAGGGCTACATAGTAAGACCCAGTCTAAGAAACAGTCATCCTGTTCAATGTAGAAGATGAGGCAGCTGCATCCTAGAAGAGTTCATTTGGGCTGAAGTTACAGGTTATCCTCTACAGACACTTATGCTCTTTGACTTGGAGCCAGATTGTAGTCCAGGTTATAGACACCTCAGGAAGACAAAGCATGAACTGATATGAAAAAAACATGAGGAATCCTAACATGACAGAAATCTTCAACATTTCACCATGGCTACAAATCTCAACCCAAGGGCTCACAGGAAATAGGAAGCCCTCATTTTGTTTTTGAGACAGTCTCATAGGTCATACCAACCTGGAATTACATAGCTGAAGATGACCCTGAATTTTGGATCTTCCTACCTCTACACTCCCCAGTGCTAGGGGTTATAGGCATGTATACCACCACACCCAGTTTATGTGGTGCTGAGGATCAAACCCAGGGCCTCATGCTTGCTAGTCAAGCACTCCACCAATTGAGTTACACCCCCAGCCAGTCTAGAAAGTATAGTCAAAGCAACTTCAAGTCAATGATTTCACCTTTTCTTTCTTTTTTTTCTTTTTTCCTGGCAGTACAGGGGATTGAATCTAGGGCCTGGTGCACGCTAGGCAAGTGCTCCATCACCAAGCCACAGCCTCAGTTTTGAGGACGTGAGCTTGAATCGCCAGAACCCATATAAAACTAGGGATGGTAGCATCAATCTATAATTGGGTACATCTGTAAAATGAGAGGCAGAGACAAGAGAATCCTTAGAGGTTCAAGGCCAGAGAATCTGGTATATACAACAATGAAGAAAGGGGCCCTGTCTCAAAGCAAGCAGAAGGTGTAGACCAATACCCAAGGCTGTCCTCTGACCTCAACACACATGCCATGGCACACGTGCTCCTGCTCATACACACAAATGCATACACTCATACACACATTTTTTTTCCTGGAAACTAATGTTCAGAGTCACCATACAGTATGGTATGGAGTAAGACGTCTCTAGCATGGAACTCACTACATAGAGCCAGCTAGCTTTGAACTCAGAGATATTCTGTCAAGTCACCTTTGACCTGCAGAGTTCTTCAAAGCCAGTCAGAGAATTGCTCTGAGGAGGTACTGCTGTTTATGATGAGACACGAACACTTCCTGACTGCCACCTAACAGCTGAAGGCACCCTCATTCTATATGCACAGATTGTGGGCTCACTCTGTGCCATGCAGGCCTAACTTCTCCAGGGATTCATGCACTTCCCCCAACCCCCCACCCCCCATTCCCCTGCCAAGGAGACATTCAGGCTATACTGATCCTCCCACCACCAGAAAAGGTCAGACTGAACAGGAAATCCAGTCTTCCAGTGTCTGATCTCATTCACTGTCTCTGCCTGACCTTCAATTTCAGACCACATTTTCAGCTCAGGGCAAGGCAGGTGGCCTTGTCTTCAAGGCCCCTTAAATTGGGGTGGGCTGCCATGCTGGAATACTCACTGGCAAGGAGGTAGATGATGTCATACTACTAACTGCAGTGGGCTTCAGGGAGGAAGTCAGTAACTTTGCCACTCCCTGGGTCCCACCACCAGAATCTCCATTTGAACCTCCGGGTGGAGCCACTAGGGTCAGCTTCTGGGAAACAGGCGGTTTCTTCACAGCTGAGCTTGGGACTGCTCGGCTGGCAGGTTGTCCTGTGGAGGGAGGCTGCACGCCAGGGAGCAAGGTCCCAGAAACAGAGCTCTGCACTGACGTTCCTCCAGACAATGGGCTGCCGGAAGAAGCCCCATGTTTGGAGATCGAGCCAGCAAAGGGATTATTCTTGTAAGATGGCCCCACAGAGCTGGCTGGATGCTGTTTTGCTGGATGGCTCAGGGCAGTAGAGGATGAGGCTGGAGTCTTATGAGAGCTGCTGCTGGAGGCTGGTGAGCTTCCTGAGGAGGCTGGTGTAGAGGCATGGAAGGCCTGGCCTTTGGCTGCTGTCTTTACCAGCTGCAGGAGGGAACGATGACACTGTGGAGAAGAGGCCTTTGGGCCTTGGAGCTTGTTGACAAAGGGAGCTGAGGGGGTGAAACTTTTCTGCTGAGTGCCTGCATGAAAGACTTTGACTTGAGGGCCGGCCACAGGAGCTGCTGCCTGGGGTCCGTGAGACGTCCGTGGCAAGCTGTGGTGCTTTGTTTTGGACTGATGCAATTCAGACAGGCCTTTGCTGAGAGGAGCCTGACAAGACAGCTCTTTGTAGCCAGAACTCTCTGTTTTTTTCTCCTGAGAGGACTGCCCCAGTGCTAGAGCCTGTTCAGCCAGAAAATTAAGGGGTGACTGCAGGGTGTTAGTGTGAGGTGGTGCAGAAGGACTGGGTTTTGCAAAGTTCCGTTTTTCTTCTGTACACAAAACACCAGTAACTTTTTCTACTGGTGCTTTGGAGGGTGCAGGTAGTGTGAATTCAGAACTGCCAGCTGCTCTGCTATTCAACACAGCCAGCTCCTTAGACACAGCTTCCACTGAGGAAGCTGGATTCTGAACCAAGTCTTCATCCAGTGAGTCCTCTAGGGTGACAGGAGCAGGGTCAGCAAGGCCACCAGTCACCTGGGATGGGAGATCCCTGCTGGTGGCCCCAATGCTCTGGCCTCCTCCCTGGTGCTCTGAAGGCAAAGCAGTGGGACCACCAAGCTGTCCTGATGGGATGGAAACTTTTTTGTCAGGCTTAGCAGATGAGTCCTAAAGGAAAGCAAAAATGCTGATAGTTAGAAGTGTCCAAAGAAGTCAACAATGGCCTGTTTGTGAGGATGTCAACATGTGAGAAACTCAAGCTTCCTGTGTAATTACAAAACCAGGGATGGATGAGAACAGGTGCCACACCTGCTTTGCCTTGTAGCACTGTCTGGTATGTGTCCAGCTGGCTGGGGCTGAGTTTAGCCCAGCATGCTTTGTTGCTAAGTACACACACGCCCACAGCAAAATTTTCTCCTTTTGGTTTCTGAAAAAAATACAAGACTTGCTGAAGGAGACTCTGCCCACTGGCATTCACACTATCTTGGATGTTCCTGGCCACAATAAGACTGATGCAGAACATGAAAATTGTCTTAATTTAGCTTTCTTTTCCTTTGCCTTTTTTCAGTTCCTGTCTCCTCAGTCTTTTTCACAGGAAGGGGAATGGGATTTATCCCATTACTCTTGCATCCCTGGTACTCAACACAGTGTGTCCTCACATGCTATAGGAGCTTGACAGATACTCAGGAATAAACAACTCATACATCTGTTCTTACAGTCTCTTTAAGTACTGTTAAGGGAACCCTGAGCCTCAAGAACTGGTAAAAGTTTGGCAAGTATCAATGCTCTCACTGAGAGCTTTCTGTGACATCTAAGGTGGTTTTCACATCTCTGGGCTCCACCTACTATACTTCCCTGTAGTTCTGCCAGGTAGCTCAACAGAGACATCACTCCTTCCTGCTGCTCCAAGCTAACAGGCACTCAGGAGTGTACTTCCCCCCCTATCAAACAGCTCGACCTCCACATCTGCAGTGTCCTGCAATCCTCAGATCTCTGAGTTATGGAAGTTCAAGAATGCTATATGAATAGATGTCCCCTGACCAGTAAAGCTCAACAAGCAGCCATGGTCACTGGAAATTTCCTAAGCAGATTTCAGGAAGAAGAGGACAGCTGGCACCTGACCCAAGCAAGCTGACTCACCTTCACCTTGATTTTAGGAGGAGCTATTACTTTCTTCTTGGCCCTGTTCAAAGAAATGAACACAAACATGGTTCAGAGATCTACAAATGGAGATTAAAACAACAGTATCCTGAGAAATAAAATAAGGAGGCACTCACAGGAGTGATGTCAGGTGTCCATGGCCTCGCCGGCTCTCCTTAAACAAAGTCCTGAAAGAAAGAGTGCTGGGTATCACATTTGCCCCTGCATGCTACAACTCTTGCTTCTGTTGCTTTCTTAGAGACCCTGGTGCTCACTGGCTATTTCTCACTGAATCTAGCTAACAACTGAAACAAATTCCCACTGAGTAGCCACACCAACTACCCTCAAGTCAGGAGTCCAGGCTTTACCAAGAAAGCTAATGGCTCTGCCCCAACATCTCATAGCCATGTGTTCCCCACGGCATGGCACCTTCCTAACTGGTATTCTCAACCTTCCCTGGTATTCTCAACCTTCCCAAGGAGAAAATGTGGAGTATCCCACAGTGTATCTTTTTTTCCAGGGAAACTTGACAAAAATGGTCTTTATATAAGCCCAACCTATAAGGAAAAAAGAGTAATTTCCAAGGTTCTGTAACTGTCCAAAGCACAGAAACAATGGCCAACATCAGCAGCTGCTATATTCCTATGCCCTGTATCCAGCAGACATACTCCACTCATGGGCAGCAATACATGAGAATGAGACTCTGGGATAGATGCCCAGTACTAGGTTCCAGTATGACATCTGCACAGCATCTTGTGGATGAAACTTTTTACCCCAAGATGATGCTACCTCTCAGCCTCAGTACAGTCATTGCATCAACACAAAAAGTCTACACTGTGATGAGAAGAGCATACAGCCAATCCTCCAACTGAAGTGGCTCAAGGAATGACAAGAATTGAACCCCCACAAGCAACATTCCTCTTCTAGACTTATGAGACTCTTCTTCAGATCCCAGTATGTCCCCAGGTAATCAATTGATATCAGAGTTAAGCCAGCAAGACAGTGACTTCTGAGGGCAGGGGTCCTTGTCAGCCCAGACTACCCCACGTCATCATGAGGGCCTCACCTGGCCTGCATCCAGCCTTTAGGCCAGAGGGGCTTGACCTCAGCATCCAGAAAGGCCTTCACACAGTCCTCCCAGGCCTGGGCCTTGCTGCTCCTTTCCAGATCACGGCTTTCCAGTTTGATTTTCACCACCTGGCACAGCAGCTCCCTGAGGAGCAGGCAGAGATCAGAAACTTCCTGCCACCCCAAATGCTGTTTTATGGTTGCCATCATGTGCTTTCAATAGCTCCATGAAAGTAAACAATCCTAACCTTCAATAGCAATATGGAGTCAGGCTCAAGACCCTAGCCCCACAAGCCCTCCAAAGAGGCAAGGTCTCAGTTTGTGCACACCTGATTTCATCATTCCACTGGAATTTCTTCCGGGGCCCCATTATCCTCCTGCCTCCCCTTTCCTCATCTTCTTCCTCATCAGAACAAATACGTTCTCTCTGTTCCTTGTCTTTCTCCTCTTCCAGCATCCTACAAAGGGAACAGAAAAAGTCTTGAGATCCTCCTGCCCACCAGTTTCTCCTTCCTTCCTTCTACAACATCCACTTCGATTTAAAATCAGAAAATGCTAAAGAGCCTAAAGTCTCTTTGGAAATTTAAGTAAACACTGAGAAGTATATAGAGAGGAGACAGAGGCCTGGAGAAATGGCTCAGTGGTTAGGAGCACATACTGCTCTTGCAGAGGAGCCAAGTTCAGTTCCCAACACCCATGTCAGACAGCTCATAGCTGCCTGTAACTCGAACTCCAGGAGATCTGACATATCCTCTCTGGACTCCCTAGGAACTTGCAGTCACACATGCACATTCCCACACACAGATCCACATATATACATATAATTAAAAATTTTTTGAGGGGGCTGGAGAGATGGCTCAGTGGCTAAGAACACTGATTGTTCTTGCAGAAGACCCGGGTTCAAATTCCAGTACCCACATGACACCTAACAACGCTCCAAAACTCCAGTCCC